CTGTATCGCCTGTCGACTCCCCTGGCGACCGCACAGTTCACGACAGCACTTGAGAAACAACTGCCAGTGCCGAACGTAATGTAGTTTCCGGTTAGCGTTAGATTAACTGCAGTTGTGGTAGTGTCGGTGAGGTCTTACGTTCTATCTCCCCCAGGCGTTTATACCTTTTCCGTCTAACCCCGCCCTAAACTTATACTCAAACTCTGCCTATGCCCAACACTTGGCCCCGCACAAGGCGACGTGAAACCTCCCACAAGACATTTGGATATGAATGGAATACAAGACGCAGACGATGGCACAACCCTAAGGGGGACCACATGACCGCCCACAAGACGATACTCGTATTGCGAAACGAACTTAGTGTGCCNGGTGAGGTCTCACGTTCTATCTCCCCCAGGCGTTTATACCTTTTCCGTCTAACCCCGCCCTAAACTTATACTCAAACTCTGCCTATGCCCAACACTTGGCCCCGCACAAGGCGACGTGAAACCTCCCACAAGACATTTGGATATGAATGGAACACAAGACGCAGACGATGGCACAACCCTAAGGGGGACCACATGACCGCCCACAAGACGATACTCGTATTGCGAAACGAACTTAGTGTGCCAACGTCGCGACACTGGGCGAGGTAAGCCGAAGTCCATCGTCGCCATCCGCACACCGGCCGCGAGCATACTCAGGTCTACGAGGCGTTTCCACTCGCCGATTGTCCATCCCCCCTCGCTCTCCTCCCACGTCCAGACCCAGGCCCGTACGAATCCCTGAACCTTGTCTTTTTAAGAGTTGTGCCCATCTGTCCCTCAGGGTTTCTGCTTCTAGCTTTACTTTGGCCGATGGTACCGGTAGCTTGCTTTGTTGAACCCTTCGGCCTCCCCTTCTTAGGGGCCATCTCTGGATTGCCGGGACCTATTGCAGTACCGTCGAGCATGCCTAGCCTCTTAGTCAGTTGGAACTTAACACACTCGTCGACCGCTCTCTGGATCTCTAGGGCCTCGGCGGTGTTGACCGACCTCAATATCTCGCTGACATTTTCCTTACTCTTTGCCATCATGGTGGCAAACGCTCGGCGCTGATCGGCTACCTTTCTCGCATCCTGGGGAAGCGCGCCATCCATGTCGCCATTGTTGTCATAAATAGGGGCGACGTCATCGTCGTTGTCGTGAAGCCCGTCCCAGCCGCCGCCGTGCCCTGTTGATCCCAACACGAATGAGACGCTCCAAGGCTTGTCGTCCACGTCGGGCGCCTGTCTCCAGCGGTTGTGCACACACGCGACGTTAAAGGTGTGGCCAGACCCAGGCAAGTCCTTCTCGCCGATGAAGCTAAGAAGAACTGCGAAGTAGTGTCTGCACGGTAGGCCGTGCTGCAGGAGCCGTAAGCATGAGCACAAGTGAAAGTCCCCGGGGCCGAAAACCATCAGGTGGCTCGGCCGATTGGGGGTAAGCTTGTACCGCACGGCGAAGATCGCAGAGGTAGGAACATCTTGGGTCAGGGACAAGAAATCCTCCAGAGAGGTGCGCGCCCACATGCTGGTGTCGACGAGGGATCCTCCCTCACGGCCATTCTCGCATCCTTCGTCGAGGTCCGTGGCGGGTGGCGGCGGTTGCAAGAGGTTGAGGCGCTCTCGAAGGTCGGAAATTTGCCCCACCTTGACGGGGTCTTGGGCGGGTTGGCGGTCGACGATGCGCTCCACGTCGTACGACTGCGATCCCCCGAGCTCGCTTCGGACGTCCTGGTTAGTGTTGGACGAGGTTGACGGTATTGACAGGAGGGCCAGACAGAATCGATTGAGGTTTACCAAAAGGGTAGCGAAGCAGCGATTATGTGGTAGCATTGCGTGGGTCTGCGTTGACCACAGCCGTGTATGATGCCGTTAACAGGACTCACCCGCGAGCAGAATTGGCTGGCACCGACACGCTGAAGTCCTTCGTTGATCGGCGTGAAAAAGTTCTCCATGTGCTTCTCCTGGAAGGGCAGCTGCGCAGCGATGGCCGGAGTTGCGAGCCTGTAGACATAGACCATCCGGCACGGGGCGTAGGATATGTGGCGGGGACATGTGGCGGGGTTGGGGTTAACGGGGAGACTGGCTCCTTCGTACCGAATGTCACAATCGCCGAGTCCCACAATCGATTGCCTTCACATTAAACGGGCGAGTGAGATGAGCGATGTAAACGACCGAGCTGCGACAAAGCTGATCCATGGAACCCAAACTCAACAAAGATGACCCAAACCCAACAAAGATTACCCCCCTCACCTTACGTGAAGTTATGGGAAGCGGAAAACACACGATGCAAAGAAGAAGCGGTAATTCCTCTGAAATCCGGGAGTGGTAACTCCATGAAACTCGCCTGGCGGACTCAATCGC